AGCAGAGTACTCATCCTCTTCCTCTTCCCTCCCCCAAATGCCCAGCTTTTCCTTGTCAGTGGAGGAGACAAAGAGAGTTCTCGTACACAAATGCTTCTACCCTCATGCGCGTGCCTCACGCACTCAGGTCCTGGCAGGCTTCCTCACAAATCAGTGCTCACTCATCCCCTCAAGGCTCAGCTCTACTCCTAGAAGGCACCTGTGGCCTTCTATATCCCACATATACCCAGAGCCACACACTCAACCCCATTACCAACTCCTGGACACATAGGCACCTCCCTGACCCAGAGCCTGACAGTGGAGAGAGACCACAGACAAATGCCAGAGTGCTTCACAATGCTGGCCCAACAATGGCTAACTTCAAGGGAGACAATTGCTGCTTAAGCAACAGGCCTGTGTACTGAAAGGAGGGGCAGACACGCTGGACTTGAAGGGGAGGACTTGCAAAGGCCTTTAAAGTGCTAATGAGATGCCTTGATGATGAGGGACAAAGATAGCAGCAAGAGGCCCTCCCAACAGATACACAGCCGGCCCACTGCTCCTGAAGATGAAAGAAACTTTATTGACAGAGGAGGGTGAAACCCAGGCACCAATCTGCCCCTAATGAGGGGATGATGATTCCAGCTGTGAATACAGATGTTAATAGGGCTCTACCAGCAGACTGCATTCAGTCTGGCTGGCCTAAAGGGATGTCTTGACTGACTCTGTAAATACAGCATCTAGTCAGGTGACAGCATCCCCCCCCCAATGCAGCCATGCCTGGTGTGGAATGCAATAGGTATTTACTAGTATGCTGCCACACTACACGGTCAGTCAGGGTGGGAAGAAAGGAAAGCACCTCCCTGAAATGCACTGGTGGGGTGAACTTGCAGAGGGCAAAATAACCCATGCCCTAGGTTAGGATGTGGCTGGGACACAGGAACCAATGTGCATGATCTTCCTAAAATTGCTACAGAGGCTCTGGTTTTGGGAGGTGCTCAGGAGTCAGCTTTGTAGCTCATGGAAAGAAGGGTAGGTAATGTGCTGCACATGCACAAATACCCTGCAGAAGTCCCCCTTCTCACACTATCTCTGGAAAGCCTGCCTGTGACCATGTACAGGGAGGAGAAACAGAGACTAGGTGCTCTGCAAAGCACTACCTTCTCTTCTCCATGGCCTGCTGGAGATCAGGGGATGGACTGTGGTCCCAGTGCAGTGCACTCCCCCAGCATGCACACAGATGTAACAGCACTGACAGCAGCCCCAAGGCTATGCTGGGGACACTCAGAATTTACTTTTGAAGCAGCCACTGCACTGGGGCAGCCCACTGAGCTATGCCCTTGTCCTGTTGGAAAAGGATGTGTGAGAAGTTTTCAGGCAAGGCTCTAAATGGATCCAGCACTGAAGGACTTACCACCTTCCCCTGGGGGCAGAGGCAGCAGCTGGTGGGCACAGAGCGTTCTCTGCTCCGTGCCCCCGTGCCCTCAGAACCCTCATGCAATGGGTGCCCCTGGAGAACATCCAACTATGCCCAACCCTGGTGCATGTACCCTGGTGGCCCACATTGCCACTTCTCTGTACACAGGAACATGTGTGTGCCTGGCAGGCAGCCCAGCTCGCCATGTGCTAGCTTCCCCAGAGCTAGTGCTACCTTCTGTCCTCAGTGCCTTTGCTCCTCCTTTAGCAGGAAGCTGAAGTGCCAGGGCAGTTGGCAGTGGCAGAGAGAGTTGGGTAGGGTGTGCATTCTGCGCATTTGCTTTGTACAGTGACCTCAACCTATTTCATGCACGGGACAAGAGCAAAGGCTCTCAGCATTTATAATAAATAACTTGCCATCGATTTTTCCAATGCAGCTCCTTTCAATAGAAATGGCATGTTCAGAGCTGCTGGAGTGTGTTGTGCCCCTCCTGCTGCCCTTGCTCTCTGCTTGAGTACTGGCCCAGGATCTGCCCCTCCTCCTCCCATGGGGTCTGTTCATCCTGATGCATTATTCAGCTTTGCTCTCCTTTGCTGTGCAGGGTTGGGGCCTCAGGGGGCTCTGTTATCAAGTAATAATAAAACTGCACCTTCTGGGCTTCATATACATTGGTCTGAGTTATTCTTCAAGCCCCGTTTGCCCCTCTCCCAGAGGTAAATGGAGGTGAGAAGAGAAGCCTGGAAGCTGCTGAGGGAGGGAGGGTCAGAGCTGGGATTAGAAAATAGAAGTCACCAGCTCCCAGGCTTGTCTGCAGGGCAAATCTTTCTTACCAGCCTTCCTGTTCACATTCAGAGTGTTTCCCCAAGCCCATCACCCCCATGTGCTACATGTCACAGTCCCTAGCTCTCTGCTGCATGACGATTTTCTCAGGGTGGAAGTGCTGATGCTGCTATGAAGTCTGTGGGTTCTTAGTACTGGTCCCAGGGGAAGCAAGCAGCAGTGATGTCTCCAGCGAAGGACCGCACAGATCTCACCTTTAGGGCTCACAACAGGGTGGGAGATCTGCCACTTCTCCCCTTCTGAGCCACGTGCCCTGGCTCTTTGGTTATGCAGAGTATGTAATGGCTGAGTAACACTCTTTTCCCTCCCCATCCCTGCAATAATGGTTGAGCAGGTTGCCTCCACTGTCCCCAGCCTGCCTCTAGTCCTGCCAGAGCAGGGAGAGAAAGACCCTGAAGATGGAAATACTCATCTCCCACATCAATAAGAGCTCTTTGCAAAGATCCATTCACCCAGCAGGGAAATGTGACCAGCTCTGAGATGGAGGTGTTTAGCAGAGCCCAGTCACCCTAGATACCAGTTTGGCTCAAGTAGCGAAAACCAATCTAGAAGACAGAAAAATTTGCTAGGGAGGGTTTTAGAGAGGCTATGTGTAGTAATCCTAGAGGGAATCTGGCTGGGGCTCGCCATGTAATTTGAGAAGCCGAGCTTCCCCAACAGCTGAAAGGGCCTGAATTAGGCATAGGATTAATTGTTGAGCTGTGGGATCTCCCAGCATCTCAGCCTCTGAATTCACCTACATCCATCCAGAGCACAGTGTCCTTTGGCATCACCCAGTACTCCTAGCACAGGAGGTCACTGCAGCGCCTTAGGATTCCCTCATGTGTCTCCCATTCAAATCCTGACTTTTCCCATACCTGCATACTGAGATCAGCCAGACTAAGATGCAGGCAGAAGGAGCGCTGAAACTCTCTGGCTGGCTTGTTCTTTGTGCTGCTGCAGGCAGCAGGGAACAAGGGATGCCAGAGCCTCCTGTCCAACAGCCAACCTTCCCAAGTGACTGTCATGCCAAACTTTTTGCATCACAGGCACTGCAGGTCAGCAGACAGACAGTGCAGTTTTGCCATCTAGTGGCCATCCTGTGCATGTATAACAAAGCTTTGCACTGGATTCACTGCTGACATGGGACACTCAGGAATTCCTGCTTCCAGCTACTGAAAGCAAGAATCTCACAGCCCTTTTACATCAGAGCATCAGTGTTTCTTACCTTCTGTGATTAGAGGAAGTATAATGAGCTGCAAAGAGAACTTATGAAGGAGCAAAGCCAATAGGCTGAATAGTCCCTGCTGGACAGAAGCAATAGGATAGCATAGCCTCAGGAACCCTAGGTAGTCAATCCACTAGGAAGGTGATGATGATATACTTCACTGGCAGTGTCTGTGCTGTGCTAGCAGTATGACAACTTACCTCCACCCCCATATGCACACACCCCGACCCAGTGCTGGAGTCAAAAGCATGGCATGCCCCCTTTCTCCAGAGTACTACTAAGGCTTTGTTGTTCTAGAGCGTGTTCTGTTCAGCATTACCAAGAGCACTTTAAAAACAACACTGCCTGAATGGCTTTTATGATAGTTTATTCCCCATGGATCAAGTGAGTTTGTTCTGTGAGTATATTTATATAGATGACACATAAGATATCATTCCATGTTAAATATTAATAACAGTAATACCCTGCTCTTATACAGCACTCTTCATCCATAAATCCAAAAGTGCTTTACTAAGGAGGTCAGTAGCATTATCACTGTTTTAAAGATGGGGAAACTGAGACACAGATGGGGGATCTGTTATGCCCAAGGTCACAAGATGGGCTGGGAATAAATCCAAAATGTCTTTTGAGTCCCAGGCCAGTGCTCAGTCCATTAGATCACACTGCTAATACTCTTTAGAAAGATTCAGGTGCTGCTGTGTTGTCTATTTAAAGTGCTAGTCAAAGGAGTTGGCTCTGGAGTGCTGGAGATTGAGCAAGGACTGCAAAGGCAGCTGCTGGGCAGATTTCCCCTGGCCCAGCTCCAGTCTCAGCTCTGTGTGCACCTCCATGGCTTGCTTGATCCTTGGTCTCTCTGTTAAGGTGGCCATAAGAGCATGAGCTACAGCCAGTTGTGGTGATGCTTTGAGGAGGTGTTCTTTGGTCTCTCGGTCATGCTCTAACCTCACAGACACCTTTCAGTGAGGACAAACAGATTTTCTTTCAATTCGGAGGCCTCACTCTGTCAGGTAAATCACCCTTGTTTGAAGCTCATCTGCCTTCTGGCTTGATTCTGTCTCCTTTTCCTGTGTTACGCTTTTCTCCTTGTAATTCATTTCAGTAAGTCCCAGTATGACAGAAGTCCACATGACCCCTCTCCTACTGCTACCCTCCCCCTTTCCCCCTCCCAAAGAATCATAGGAAATTAGGGTTGGAAAGGACCTCAGGAGGTCACATCTACTCCAACCCCCTGCTCAAAGCAGGACCAGCCCCAACTAGATCAAGCTGGGCCTCAAAAACCTCCAAATATGGAGATTCCACCGCTTCTCTGGGTAACCTGTTTCAGTGCTTCACCACCCTCCTAGTGAGAAAGTTTTTCCTAATATCCAATTTCTTAACATCCCTTCATGGCTTCTAAGAAAACATGAGGACACACACAACAATGCAACTTCACACACCCCCACTCAGGCCCTCATAGGCAACAACATACAAGACATCCTCACACCCACCCATACACATTCACGCTCACAAAGTCACTGTGCAAAATGCTATGGCAGCCGCTCTTGTCCTTTCCCTTCCCGTCCCCCTGCCATATCACTCCCTGGGTCCCCTCCCTGCACAGCAAGCCTCACTGGGGGGAACCAGGTCAGCAGGGGGATGAACAGCTCAGTTCTGAATCTGAGCATCCCTATGGGCTTTATGTTTGCTGAGTTGGTGGAGACCAAGCAGGCAAGCTCCACCCCAGTGGCTCCCAGGGAGGAACCATCACCAGGTAACTGGAAGGAACATAGCCCCTCTGTCCATTAACTTCCACCAGGCTCCAGTCCTTACTGCCCTTCTTATCATGAGGTTCCAGCACTGCCACCGGCTGCCCTGCCTGGAGGCTGACCTCCTGGGGGCTCCTGGCTGCGAACGAGAAACCGGCGACCACCTGGACAGGACAAGAAGATACAGATAGAAAGCCCTCAGTGAAAAGAAGGCTCAAAGGGTGGAACGTGCCATGCCTGAGGGGAAGGGGAGAACAACTGCTATGTAAGCCTGCAAGAACCTCACCCCTCTAGGCCAGATAATTTCAGGGAGATAAATGCTGTACCTGGGACATGAGCATGTCTGCTGTGAGCCAAGAGCTTGGTGCTCAGTGCTGTACCCAGGTGTAGTGTAACATTACAGACAGAGTATTTGTGGTCATACTTGCAAAGGATTAACCACATCTCATCCTTTTGAGCATTCTGTGCTCCCCATAGGGCCTTTCCTTTCTTTACACCAGGTGAGAGAGCTGCATGTAGAAGTATGTGTACATCAGTGGAGGAGATAAAAAGAGTCCTTTCTTCTGCAGCATCAGGCAGTGACTACTGACAGAAAGAGAATACCAAGTAGCTGGGCCTTGAGCCAATCTGTTATCAGATCTCAGCTCCTCTGGAAGCTGTAATGCACAGGCACATATGCATAGGTATTGGTGTATAGTTGTACATGCTGTGTGTGCTTGCATGTGCACTTGGGCAGATACATGCACAGAAACAGAGACTATGAATCTATTAATGAATAAACAGGCTGCTGCTATGTTTCCCACACCCACCTGGGAAGCCGGTGTGACAATGGGAACTGGAGGCCTGGGAGCTTCGGGGAAGGTGTAAGAGTGTCGTCTTCTCTCAGCCCTGTCATCTGGGGCCAGCATCTGCATCCTGGGCTTTTGGCTTTGGTCCAGGTGATAGGGTTGGAGTTTTCCAGCAGGGACGTATCCTCGGGGACCTGCAGGGCACACGAACTACATCAGAAAGAAAACCACCATAGGTCCAGATCATAGGGGAAGCATAGGCTACTTGCTACTGATGAAACACTTCTCTTTTGTGGGTGTGGTTAGGGAAGCAAGAAAAGGGTAGCTGGCCATGGCCTGGCATAACACAGCTCTGCCAATGCACCTCTGCCCTGACCTGCATCTTTGAGTCATTGCACACAAGCTTAACTTGCTCCCTGGAAGACACCCATGAAGCACCAGGAGGTCCAGAGATTCTGTTGCCAGGTAGAACCCTTCTTCCCAGGTCATGGTGCATCACAAATACTAGTGGGGAAAAGCTAAGCATCACATACAGGGTCATTTAGTTGCAGACCTAGTACTGCTGGGAAAAACCAGGAGTGGGTTTGGGTCTGGCAAAAGCAGGGGAGAGTCACTGCTCATTCTTGTTTCATCCACAAAGTCCAGGAAGAGAGAGATGCACACAGCTTGAAGCTGCACCCATCTGCTCTCTCCTTCAACACCTTGGGATCTGCCCAGTGAGCTTCAGCAGCAATGCTTTCAAGCAAACCACCCAGCATACACACACACACACCCTCAGGCCAACTTCTCTTAACCTTAGGGTTGCTTATTATTATGAGGGAGCTCTCAGTTGACGCAGACACAGAGTGATATGCCAGAGTGGGATGCAGGGCAAACACCCAGAGAAGAAGGGTTGCCCCACTGAGAAAAGAAATGCATCACAGACCCAGAGCAGCACCTGCTTTCCCATGTCCCCATGGACAGAAGCTCTGTTGGGACATTTAATCCACCCGTAACACTGACCATTGGTAGAACACAGGTCTCCTGCTTGTTGTTCAAAACTGACCTAGGGTGGGGAGGGGCTCTCAATGTCCCAGGGAAGGAGGTCCCTGCAGTCCTCACATACCTCCAGCATCCACCAGCCATCTGTTAGTGTTGCCCTTAGTGTCCATGCCATGCAAGAGAGCCACAATCTGTCCCCTCTGCAGGGTCAGGTCCAGGTCTTTGCTGCCACTGATGTTGCTTATCACTTGGTAGAGCTTGTCTGGACTGTGTTTGCTCACAAGTGAAAGGACCCTCCGCTCCTCCGCAGGGCTCAGAGACTAATAGAGAATGAGATACAAGCAGAACTTAGTCAGAAACGCCTTCCTCAGCTTGAGATCACACCTCCCTGGGTATTTTTCCCCATCTGTGGTATTATTACATCACTGTGAGTGGTCAGGGTAGGAACTCCTGCGGGCTGCTGTTAAACTTCTGATCTGCCTCAGGGTACCAAGCCAGGTCTGCAGAGCTAGAGACACCAGGCTTTTTTTTGGTGGAAGTTTTCTGATTCAACTTTGACTACATTGTCAAGGAGTCAAAGCCACTATCACAGCTAATGCAAAGGAACTGCAACCAGCTGTCTCTGGCTTCACTTCCTTTCCAATAGGGGTGGTTCATGTGAACTTGTGAACCACTGAGTATCTACTCAGACATCCGATCTCATCAGCTATGTGATGAGGTGAAGGGGAAAGGGAGGCAGGGGGAGGCCTTTTTCCAAGCTCCTACCTGTACCAGAGGGCTTGGCATGACTGTCTCGAACTTCTGGCAGAAGGCATGAAGCTGGGTGCCAGACTGGCGTAATGTGTCTTCCACCATCTTCCAGAAAGTAGGGAGGGGAAGGTGGCTGTGCGGCAGCTGTGGAAAGAGACCCTGGGGTGAGAGAGAGCAGCAATGGGGAAAGAACACACAGAAAGAAACACACCGAAAGAGTGTAAATGAAGAGGGAAGAAGGAAAGGGAGAAGGAAGCAGGAGAGAATGGGTCTTAGAAGAACAGGCCCTGAAAGAACCTCTATCCATGAACTGTATCTCTTCTCAGACTTTCAGTGTCTGAGAGTGTGAGATACTCTAGGACCTTACAGGAGCACCTGTCCTGCCAGAGCTTTTTTGGAATGAATGACATTCTGGTTTGCTCAGGTGAACTCATCAGGGTGGGAGCTGTCTTCTTGTTCTTTTTGCACAGCACCCACCAGCAGTGAGGACTGGTCCATCACTGAGACCCCCAAGCCTCACCACAGTAGAAATAATGCTTCTCCTGAGTGGCTCTGTGGAACTGCACATGAGGTGGCAGGGTTACCCTGAGCAGTAATGAGGTCACCATTCTAGACCTCCCAGGAAAGAGGGAAGACAAAACTGTGCAAATAAAGTGATCCTCTGTGCCTTGGGCTATAGAGACTGGGAGACAGGGAGGCACCCCACTACCTAGAAAGAAACTAGCTGGTGCCTTGCATCATGCAAGCCTGGGTGAGGCAGCTGTACACTAAGGCCAGCCATGGGAACAACATGCTTGCGTGCCAGCTCTACACAGCTGGAGAATGTCCATTACCTGCGCCAACTCCCTTGTAGTCTCTTCCAGCACCTTCTTGGCCCACTCCCTTTGAAGGGCTACAAGTGAGTTCAGTATCTGCCCCAGCAACTGCAGGGCCACCTGATTAAACCTGGGGAGCTCAGACATGAGCAGGGCATTGATGGCAAGGTAGGTGTTCATAGCAGCTTCTTCATCATAAGTCACACTGCCTGTCTCACTCTTCCGCTCCTGGATCTCCTCATAGTCAAGCAGCTTGTCTAGGCGCTTCTTGATCAGCTGTTGTGGCCCCTTTAGAGCATCTGTCAGGCTGCAGAGTGGCTGATAGACCACCCGGTTCAGCCGTCTCCTCTGTGGGACAAGAACCCAAAGGCACTGCTGTGAAATCCTCAAGAGGCAACCCAGTGTACCAGCCTGAGCATCTAGAATAACCTGGGGGGGCACCCTCTGCTCTTCAGGTCTGTCAAGTCTTACAGCAGCTGAGCTTCTTTCTCCTGCACAGGAGGCAGCTGTGAGACAAGGGAAATCCCCATGTCTGCCAAAAGCTGAGGCACAAAATGGGCAATGCTTTTGGGGATGCAAATCAGATAGCCAGGTTTTCCCACAATCTTACATTCTGACAGAGTCCTGGACTTCACTGCTCACTGTGAGCTGGTAAAAACAGCTCTATGTCACAATACCTGGGCAAGTGAAACATACTCACAAACTCTGGGAAGATGGTGAGGTGCAGGTTTCCTGCAAGGCGGCGATATTGCTGGACAGCTCCCTCTTCAATTTCTAGCTCACACTCATGTGGTTTGGAAATGAGGAACACCTAAAGTGGACAAGAAATGGAGCTGAGAAATTGTACGTGTGCGCCCAAACCTGGGACATCCCCAGAGCCATATTAGCCTCTCCTGAGCAACCTGAAAGCCACCTGGTTGGAAGGACAAGGGCCACAGAAATGCTTGCAAAGGGGTCACTTCCAGGACAGAGGGCAGAATGAGACCACTTGCAAATCCGATCCATTTGGTATGGGTCACCCAAACCTTCAGTCCTCTCTGGTTGTAAGCTAAAAGCTACAACAGCTGTCCAACCCTCATAACAACTGCCCAGGGCACTCAGGCTAGTGTTCCCTAGGAAAACATACCAATGTGCTGAGCCTGGCAGCACCAAGTAATCCCACAATATTGCCTTGGGACATGACAGAAAGCTGGCATATGCTCAGGAGTCACTGCCCAAACCTCCTTTCTCCCAAGTGCACAAAGCAGTGTGCAGAACCACCTCCCACCAAGACACATGAGTGTACGCAGTCCAGTGCTTGCCAGCAGCCTAGCCAGAACCAGAGCCTCCCTCCTACTTTGAGACCCTGCTGCCAAGTTTCTAGTGCTATAGCATCTTCCCCTTTCCCAGTGCAATGGGAGATGCTTTGACACTGTCTGGAGTGCTGTGTCTGGAGCTGTGGCAGTGTAGTTGTCGGAGTCTTCCCTCACTACAGAGTTGTCCTAGGATCCCTGCCAGGGCAGGGCACCTGTGACCAGTGGGAGGGGAGAGAAGCTGGACAGTTACTGGGAACAACCGAGCTCAAAGTGGATTTGATTCCACCTTTCCCACGAAGGGCAGTCTCCCCCCCGCAGTGCTGCAGCCCTCTATCACATTTCAACGCCAGTCTGGCTCAGACTGAGCTGAGGACTACAGTATTGCATGTAAGCTCCTTCTGTCTGCTCCTGGCTTCACATCCCAGGGGATGAATCACACTCTTGTTGCTGTTGAAAAGGTCAGAGCCAGCAACAAAGAAGGTGGAAGGGGGAAGCATCTTTGGCCTCTAAATCATAGGGCAGTTCTATTGGAGACATGTGTACTGCTTTTTGAGGCCTGGGGAAACTCCTACGCAAATGCTGCTGCCCTGCTAGGATGGTACAAACAGAGATTTAGCTCTCTGCTGGTCACCCAGGTATAATACAAGCAGGTGTTCAGACCAAAGGGATCAAGGAGTGGCCAGCCTGCCAAATGGTGCATTGGAAGTCTGGGTCACTGCTGCCATAGGAATCACATTGTCCCTTGCTTTCATTTACATGTACAAGAGGATTTTACTTGGGCGGAGGTGGGGAGACATGACCCTCTGCTCTTTCCTCAGATGATTCTACAGGTTCCTGGGAAACTGCATCTGATCCCTGCACTCATCTGCCTATGTCCCTGCCAGAGCCTAGGGCACTTACACACATGCATGGAGGCTGCATCGACATGCTATAAATCCAGTGCGCCAGAGCAGACTACATGAATTGAGTCTGCTGGAGCACAGGAATTAATGTTTTCCAGCAGGCTCCAGCATCATGTGTATCAGTGTCCCCACACTGAAAAATGTTGAAGGAGCTTTAGTTCAAGGTGCCCCGCCACCATTTTTTCAGCGTGGGGAAGCTGATACACATGATGCTCGGGCGCATTTAATTAGTGCAGCTCGCTAATCAAAGCACCCCCACCACCTCCCAGAGCACATCTGTAAATACCCTTAGTGTCTTGGGTGCTCAGTCCATTACCTGGCTGCTGGTGAAGTCTCCCATCTCACCCCTCTGGGGCCAATGCAGGGTTTTTGCCAATCTCAAGGGATGGGCCTTCACATCTGCCCAGGAAACTATGTCATGTCTCACTGATGGGGAATGTTTCTAGATATTTAGGTTGTTTTCCTCTTATTAATTTCATCTAATTTCTCCCAGTCCAGTAAGGAATTCCTTCCTTTCTGTGGGTTTTAAACCCTTCCAAGATCTACAGGGAACCAAAATGGCTGTGCCTAAGCTGCTCCTGTGGGTTTCTAACCCTAGGCATTATGGTACATGTAGATTTTACCGCTAAATTGTTCAGGTAAGAGCCCATGTTCTCCTTCAACATGGTCACACCGGAGGCCAGGCACTGGAATTTTTCTTCCAGATCATCATACTCTTTGTCTTCTGTCTGCAAGGCAACAGCAGAAAGTTACATTAGGGGCCCTTGGAGGGGAGATTAGTCTACTGAATAATCTGAGCAGGTTTGGGGGATGGACTGCATGGGAGGGACTGTATTCCAACACAAAATGGAGTGAATGCCTGCCTGATGCTAGTGGGCAGTTCTTGGAGATGGACATCCTGGTCCTATTGTAAGCCATGGGACTTCAAAAGGTCCACAGTTTCACCCTGAGTATACAGGGATGATGACAGTAGGGTAGAGCTGGAGCATGGGAGGGCCTTCCACAGCCTTGGAAGAATGTATCAGTAGCTGCCTACTAGAAGAATTGTGTCCTCAAAGATTGAAGGTGTTGGCTCCACCATGCTCCATTTCCTCACTGACCAATGGATCACAGAAGTGAGCTTAATGCTCAGCTCAGATCACCAGGTATTCCTCTCATTGGGGACTAATGACCACAGGGAGCCACACAGAGGCTGTGTCGTGGCTCATATGATAATATAGAGCACATGTCATGGAATCATAGAAACACAGAGCTAGAAGACCCCTCAGGAAATCACCTAGTCCAACCCCTTGCTCAAGGCAGGAGCCTCTATTTCTAAACTGTCCCAGATGAATGTTTGCCTAACCTCTCCTCAAACACTTCCCATGATAGAGCTTTCACAACCCCTCTAGGCAGTCTGTTTCACTGCTTCACCACCCTCAAAGTTAGAAAATCCTTCCAAATATCCAACCTAAATTTCTTTTGTTGCAAGCTAAGCCCATTACTTCAGGCCCTGTCTCCTGGGGACATGGAGGACAGTTGATCACCACCCTCTTTAAACAACTCTTTTTGTGTTTCGCCTAGAATTGTAAGGTTGGAAAAGACCTCAGAAGTCATCCAGTCCAACCCCCTGCTTCAGTGACAATACCTTCCCAGACTAATACTCAGGATATGTCAGTGTTGATCATATGATCTCAGCATGGGTCACTGTGACAAGGCGCTTAGCATGCCTGTCACTTTAAGAGAAGGCAGGCAGTGGGAGAAGCTGCCTGCAGGTATGGCAGGAGCCAGTTAGAGTCACCTGGCCAGAAAGGGGTGGGGCTTGAAGCATATAAACCCAGGGCCTGAGCTGGTCCAGAGTCTAGCCCTGAGAGCCACAAGAAGAGGAGCTCCTGGCAGCAAGTTGCCAGGGTAACCTCTGAGCTGGGGAAAGCAACACAGGTGGTTTGCAGAAGGGACTAAGGGGAGGCAAGAAGGTCTCAGCTCTCCCAGAAAGGAGAGAGGGGCTAGAGCAGAGCTTTCCAAACTGTGTGCCGCGACACATTAGTGTGTCGGCGGCAGTGTGTAGGTGTGTCGCGCGAAATGCAGAAAATTTTGCAGAAGGGCACCGCGGAGCTCCCTTACTCGCGTCTGCTTCCCTTGGCCCCTCCCCCAGAACTGAATTACTGTGTCGCGAAATGATGCATGTCTAAAAAGTGTGTCACCAACATGAAAAGTTTGGAAAGCTCTGGGCTAGAGAGTCTGGGGATTTATAGCCCAGGAGGGGGCAAGTGTTAGCAGAGCCAGGGAGCCTGAAGGTCTCACTGGCCCAGGAGTGGAGCCAGGGCCCAGAGATGGGCCAAAAGTTCAGAAGGGCTATAGTTGTAGACTGATGAGGCCAGGGGACCCCAGGAGTCTCAACTATCCTAGGAGCAGGCCCAGGGCCAGAGAGAGGGGCTAAAAACTGGGGGTCACAGCTGGACACCAAGAGGGACCAGCGAACTTATAGCTCATGAGAGGTGAGGATATGCGGTATCATCTGTGAGGCATGGGTGTGGTGTAAAAGGTGGTTGGAGCCACCTAATAAGCACCTAGAGCAATAGGTGCCTTGAGGCACATACAGGCTGGGTGGGCCCGACTATGGACAGACTGGGTTTAGGCTAGTGGGGTCCAGGAGAGGATCTGCTGGTGAAGGAAGGACAAGGACTGGTTCTAGAAGTAACAGGCAGCTTCCCTTTCATAGTCTAACAATTCCATCAAGGTGTGGCAGGAAAGAGCAAAGGGGAGGGCACCTAGAATCAGGCTGAGGCAGTGGTCACTTGACTATCAGGGGTCACCCCTGGGTCCTGGCCCTGCTACAGTCACCCAGGTTTTGCATGTGCTATTTACAAATATATCTGTGGTCAATGTTAAGCCTTGTAGGCTACAGAAATTTCAGATGTGGAAAAGATGCTTTCAGAAAGTGGTCCCCACGTCTCCTGCTGTGAGGATCTGAAATCACCTACACGGACATACAGTCCTGTTCCTGGCAGCTGGTCCTGAGTGAGGCCCTCACCTTGGGCACAATGCCGGCTTCATGCATGAAGAGCCGGCTCAGACGTGTGGTCTTCTTGGCGATGGAGTGTGTGTTGAGCCGAGCGAGGCGCTCCCGTAGTGTCAGCTGCTCAGCCTTGTTGTATTTGAAAGCTGCCTCCGGTGAACAGGACAGAAGGGAGGGATATAAACAGGTCAAGAAGTCTCTGCTTTCCCCAAGGCTCCACAGCTTCTCTAGTCCTTGTGGGGGGCGGGCAAATGTGGCGCTGCTACCTCATATGCATGGAGGAGCACAGCTGAAGATGCTGGTCACCTAATTGCTCACTCCATTGTGCACCTGCCTGAGTCTCCTTTCCTCCTGTGCTTAATCACCTGCACTACTTTGGTCTCATTTTAATTAGACCATGAGCTCTGTTCCCAAGTGCTTATGCACTGCCTAGATCCATGGGACCCTGATTCTTCAAGGGGTTCCTCAGTACTACTGTGATATAAATAATGCTAAAGAAGGCTTAGAATAGTAATAAGCAACATAAAAACAAAACCACTGCCGGAAGCATGGAAGCACTTTAGCGCCTTACCCACATCTGCTTCATTAGCAGAAAGGGTGAGAAAACTTAAGCCGTTAATAGAGTAGCAAAGGCAGGCATAAAAGGCCAATTGTTTAAAAGCTGCGTCTTGACCAAAACTAGAACTGATACTGATAGGAGAGGGCTGGGCACTGCTGAAACACATGAAGGTTAATTTCTTAGCTGAATAAAAATTATTTTAAAATGGGATTTTTGAAAGTCTGATTTATTTTGTCTTGTTGAAAATCACCGGTTCCTTTTGCCTGTGTCACCTCTAAGCTCTGAGAATGAAACATGCCCATTGGTTTTGCTTTCTGATTCTCACCCACCAGCACTACACTGCAGAACTTCTTTCAATTAGTAGTAGTAATAGTAATAGTGCAACAGCAGTGCCTACAAGCTCTAGCTGAGATCAAGGCCCCATTGTGCTGGGCACTATGTGGCTGTATTGTAAGAGAGAGGACTCCTGCACTCTTAACTAGACACACAAGATGAAGGTTGAAAGGAAGGATTAGTTCACTTTGAATTAAAGCCAAACTCAAAAATGGTTTCTGCAGGGCTTATAAGAGAGCAAACGAAGGTGATTCTACTTATCTCAGGCTTTAAGACCCACAGTCACCCTGGCTATGCCTCCATTGTACTGATTCTCACTCACCTACTTCCTTGCGCCTTTTGTACTCATTGATGTTGGCGCTGACCTCCAGCATGGCATTGGTTGCGCTCTGCAGGGCAGGGTAGGCACCATCACTGGGTGATGTGTTCTCCAGGATTTTCTGCAGCAACAGCGCATACTTGGTGACCCGCTGGACTGGCATTACCAGGAAGAAGCTCAGGTCCGAAGCACCAGTGTGAGGTCTGCAGGTGAGGTGAACAGTGTGTTTAGCCATGGGAGGGCTCTGAGCCTTCCTGCCTTTCCACTGCTGAGTGAGAGAGTTCTAACATGGAGAGTCATGAAGAGGGTCCAGCAGGCAAAGTGGCCTCAGACACAGGATTAAATGAGACATCCCCCCCCAAATCAATACAGAATGTGGATTATGTCCCCCACCCCCCTCCATCCTGAATGATCCCCTTGCAGGGAGGTCATGTTCCTCCATAGACATCATAAGCAGGCTGCCCTTGTTCCCCATTGCTTTGCAAATCCACAGCCAGATCCCCAGCTGCTGTAAATCGGCACCTCTTCCTCTCTCTAGCTCACTGACAACAGTGGGGCTTTGTAGCTTTCCTCCTGTTTGGGGGAGGTTGTTTTCCCATGCTGGGGATTTCTCAGCTATGAAGCCCTGACTTCAGCTTTCCACGGGGCTGCAGGCAGAGGACGTCAGCTGTCACCCTATGCTAAAACACTGAGATGACTCTCTGCCAGCTGCAGAGAGCAAGCAACCCAAAGGACACTGCCAGTCACGGCCTGACATCCTTGCCTCATTGAACAGTGCCACACTTGTTTAACTCATAGGCCCCAGGATTGATTTTTGTCTTGGGACAGAGAGACCGGCAGTCTGTGACTAGTTGCTGTTAGCAGTACGAAGGCGGTAGCAGGTTGACAGTGTCCAGGTTCCCCCTGCAGCATGGTGGGCACTCTTCAATCAGGACATGCCTTGCCTGTTGCACTCCAAGAGGCGTAAGAACTCACACAGCTCCTCCTCATCCCCCCACTGCACTCCTAAGCATCAGGACCCATTTTTGACCTAGCTGATAGAAGCTGGCAGGTCCACAGCAATCCACTCCTGTCCTCAGGACATACAGGGGACGGGGAGGTACCTTCCCATCCATTATGCCTGTGAGTGATGCTTTCCTGTTGGCCAGCCAGAAGCAGGGAGCAGGTGTGGGCTGTGGATGCTGTCAGTCATCAGCCTTTACAATGCTCCAAGTCTAGACAGTTGAGTTGAGGATCTAACACGAGGACCAAGCTCCAGTCCAGGGCAAGTGCAGCATGATGCAAGGGTATGTGTTTCTGACCCTTCCTTCCTGGCAAATTAACACCCTGCATCCTGCACACATGCTGGAGGGAAGAGGGATAGCCCCTAAAAGCCCATACACCCCCCTCCAAGGACTCCTTCTCCCTCTTTTATTCTAGGGTCCCTTCCTGCCCAGCAGGGGTAAGGTACGTCTCCCTCTGGAGCCTGTCACTGCTGCTCCCTACTCAGCCGTGGGTGGGGGGTGTGCCAAGTGAGGAGAGATTCTGTTGCCCCCGACTCAGGAGCTCAGCTGTCCATCAGGCCGGGCTTGATGTGCAGAGGAGAGCTGTGTGCCCCAGGGCAGTGCAGAGCCATAGGGCCACCCCTCACACCTTGGTTTTGCCTCTTCAGCCCCTGGGCAGGTTGTCTGCTGGTCCTACCCGACCTGGCAGGGAGGTGAATTACTGGGGTGTCTGCTCTGCCTCTTGACCTTCACTGCTCCCCACAACCACGGACAGGAAAGAAGTTCCAACCTCCGCTCTCAACCCCAGGTATGAGCAGCCAGCTCCCCTGAGAGGAACCCAAAATCAGTCTCTGCTCTGGTTCATCTCTGCTAGTTTCAGGGGCCGTGCTCCTCAAGGTCTAGGTCACTGCCTCCCACGGCAGCCTCAACAGCTGCCTGAGGTGGCCACAAGCCATCTCCGCCTCTTATCTCAGCTCACCTACTGAAGCAGAATGTCTGATTTGATCTCATTCAGCAAGGTCTTCTGCAGGTGCTGGGAATGCCCCATAAATCACTAACCAGTCCCTACTATGCCTCCTACTGAGCCCCACAGCAACTAGCATCCAGGATTCTGGGACTTGGAGCAGGACATCAAGGGGCTAAATGAGGTCATGGCATGAAGGTGGTTGCTAACCCTCATTTCATGCTATACGATCCAGCTGGTTGAAGGCATCACCCACCCCCAGCTTCTTCAGGGACCTTCTGTTAAGAGGACAGGGACATCCAGCTAGCTGCATGAAAGCAGCGTGCTTCCATGTTCTGTCCATCATGGACCACCAGTGCACAGCACTGAGCCTTCTCAGGAACAAGTACTTACACCATTGTATTCAGGGTGTCTAGGATCTCCTGCTGCAACCGTGGGTCTTTCCTGTAACTTTCCACAAGCAACAGGGCCTGCTCGTAGCTGGCACAGTAGACCTTATAGACACTCTCCATCTTTTCCTTGAACTCCTGAAACAAGGCACCTGGTGCAAAGAGAGAGAGTAGTGGTGGAAAGCTGGTCCCTCTCATGGGGGATGGATTCCCTCAGCACACATGGTGCCATGTAATAATCAGCCTCCTTGTGGGCAGAGTCAAAGAGAAGGGAAAGACTGAGTGGACCTGGTGACCAAGGTAATCTCTCAGCTCTCAGCTGAAATTTAGGCCCACCAGCCAGGGACAGTATACAGAAAGCACACAGTGCCTTTGAACTTGGAGAGGGCTGGAGGTCTCCTCATTCTCTAAAAGAGTAATGGAGGGAGTTCAGAAAGCCCTCCCCTCCTCCCCCAACCAGCTGGAAATTAGGTTATGGGGACCTGAGCAAACAAGACAAAATGGCACTAGGCCTGCCACTTGCCAAGTATCACCCAACAACAGACATCACTGCCCCTCAGGCCCTTTCTGACTGGGCAATGTCACTTCTTACTCTGTTTTTTCCTCATTTCCATGGCTAGGGTAGGGCTGATCTCCTATGTGATGTGGTTTGTGCCCTGCAGGACTAGTGTCCCCACGATTTCATGGAGTCAGTTGAACAGATGGTGGTGGTTAATACACAGGACCCAGCAATCCCTTCCCATCTGGCTCTGGATTTCAGGGAGAAGCAGGTGGACTCTGGTGAGTGGCATGGAGCTTGCTCCAGAGGGACACGCTGTTGGTGGAGGCTGCCAGAATCACATTAGCTCTGCCACACTTAATGTTGAGGAGCAAGAGTGCTGAGGAAAGCATGTGTGTGTCAGGAGATGGACTGTGGCTGCTTGGATGAAACCAGCCTTTTCCCCCTGCTGCTCCTGTTGGGACCTGGGGTGTCTGTTTAGTCTCAGCATGGCACATGAGATGTCACTGCCACCTTCACACTTACTGATCTGGTTCAGCTGCTCAGTGTGGCTGACTGCAGCCTCCAGCCTTTTCAGGAAACGTCTGGAGACATGCAGGACATCATCAATGTTTGAGAAAAGCCCTTCCAGGTCCAGATCAGGCAGCTGAAAGGAAAATGAGTCATCAGAATGAACTCATTCCTAAAAAGGGAGTGTAGTCTGGAGCTGACAGGCAGGTGGGGTGAGTGCCCTTCAGGATAGCCTCTCGGGCTGCACATAGGACTGGATGGATGGAAAACAGTGATTTGGCATCCCAGAGTATCAAAACCGAGCCCTCTTCTCCTAAGGAATAAAAATGGGGCCTTGCAACAACCAGAGAATGTCAGTCCACAAGCTCCACCAGCTGTGAGGCAGAGACTTGAAATGGAGCCTCCCACATCCCATGATATGCCCCTGTGCCAGGTTGTTGAGAATCCTTCTCTCTCTCATTGTTCTGCTGTAGGAACAAAGTTGCCATCACAGCCAAGGCAAGTGACCTGGAGAAGGATGCCTTGAATTCAAATGCCTGTGTAAGTCCATCCCAACCATGCCGTTGGTCCAATGAAAGACATTGATCTGAGAGGCAAAGATTTTTGTGGGCAAAGCCAATACATTTTTACACAACTACTTGATTCAGAGAAGATAGCAGGTTTTGTTAAAAATATTCTAGCCTGAGCACACTGTCTCCATGGCTTTCCCTTACCTATATCCAGGCACCACAGCTGCAGAGCCAGGAATCAAAGCCACACATGCTCATTCACAGTTTGCACACAGATGTGTGTTGTGTGCACATCACCGAATGTCTGTGCTCATGACAGCAGCCAGGGTAACTTTAGGAGATAGTTTGGGGAGATTTGTCCCTTGGTGTTGTAGCATAATTTAATGGGGCAAAACTCTACTGGGATGACTTTCATTCTTTGTGCATCTGGCTTGGAAGGGTTTTAGGCCAACCAAGGGCACACGTTTAGGAAGGGGGTGGGTTCTTTTGGGCTTGGACATCAATCTTTCAGAACTGGTTGGGCACATGTCTGCCTTGTCTGCTGTGGAAGAGGCTGCTTAAAGGGCCTTTGTGTGTGTTATGTCAGGGGTTTTCAACCTTTTTTAACAAGCATACCCCTTCATAGGCAGTGGAAGGTGGAGGGGGGCTAACGGGGCTTAGCCCCCCCAAAATGTGGGACAGAGGTAGGGCTGCAAGGCAGCCTGGCCATGGGCTTCTGGCAGCTGCACCAGAGACGGGGAGGAGAGTGGGTGCAGCAATGAGGGAGGGAGTGGGGCTGGGGCTGGGGCTAGGGGAGGGGCAGGGACTGCCCAGCTGGGGTGGGGGGGGCGCGGGACTGAGCCATGAGCAGCTCGTCTGGGGGGGTGCAGCTCCTGCTGCTACACGCACCCCAGTAGGGCATGGCGGGGGGGCGTGTGCTACCAGATCTGCACAGGGCAGGGCAGGCTGTTGCTGCGAGCTGGGGCTGGAGTGGCACTGGGCTCTTCCCAGCGAGGTGGGGCTGGACCGAGCTGTGCTTGGGGCAGGTGGTGGCGGTGCTGGGAGTGGGGGGCTGCAGCCACCTCAGAATTCACCACAGGCCCCCAACCCTGTCCCCTAGTGACGCTGCCACTCGTCCAGAGCACAGCACAGCCCAGCCCAGCACCCGCTGGGAAGAGTCTGTCGCTGCCCCAGCCTGCAAAAGCAGACTGCCCTGCCCTGTGCAAATCCAGCAGCACATGCCTCCCATGCCCTCCCGGGGCATGTGCAGTGGTCGGAGCCACCCCCACTCCCCGGCTCCCTGGACAAGCCACAATTCCTTCCTGCACCCCAGCCTACCTCACCCCACCCCGACTGGGCAGCGCCTGCCCCTGCGCCAGGCCCATCCCGATCCCCCGCCCTGGCCCTCCTTTCCTCTCTCCCCGCAGACTTACCTGCTGGGGGGGACACACGCGCTCAGCGCCCCCGCCTCAAATTTTTTTCTTCCTCTGCCTGTAGTGGCCAATCAGGAAAGTGAGCTGGGGTGGGGGGCAGGAAAGAGCATGGTGCCAGTGGCACCCTGCATGTCCCTCCTCCCTCCCCAGGGGAGATGCTGCTACCTTGTGCCAGTTTGTCCCTGCCTGCCCACGCATACCCCCTACAACCTTTCTAAGTACCCCTGGGGGTACGCGTACCCCAGTTGACAACCCTTGTGTTATGTGATAGGTCTGTGCCCTGGTCATTTAGCATCTCCATGATTTCATGGAACTAGTGAAACAGACTGTGGTGACTGGCAGACATCACTTCGCTTTGACACCAGCAGAACATTTCCTGATCGTTATCTGGCCTCTCTGCTGGGAGAGTTTAGCTGATGTCTCACCTGCTTTTGCTGGAGGTGGGCCCGTATATCCGACACACACAGCTGGATGGTGTGGACATAGCTGGCCTCTGTCTTGATCAGCTCTTCCACTGCCAGTCTTTGGTTCTGCTCTGTTTTATCAAGCCATATCACCTCTTCATAGATGGAGCATTCAGCCCCTGGTATCTCTGGCTCTGTCTCTGAAGCTGGAGGCTCATCGCTGCCGGAGCTTGCCATGTCAGCAGGAGGCTCTAAGGGAGATGGAGGGGGGCAGGGTTAGAGCAGTTCTCCAACTGAGTCATCTCAGCAGGTTTAGGCAAGACTTCACTGAGGGAAGGCTCTTTGATTCAGTGGGACCCACTCTGCATCTAGCCGAGACTGGCAGTAACCAGAAGTCCAACAACCCAGTTTGGGTGTCAGTCGAGTGCAGTCTCAGTCTAGTGTAGAGATAATGCTTGGATCATTCTTCGGGTGATATCATGATACTCCACATTCCAATATGATGTATAAACAAGGATTTATCTTTTCAGGATTCTTGGCAAAGCTGGGAGAAGAATAAGGAGAAAAAAATATTGTTAGTTGCAGCAAATAAGCATAGAAAAGAGGCATGTAAAAGGACTTAGGAACAGTTGCAGTCCTAAAATATGAATTTTATTGATCTCTAGGGCCAGGTTTTCAGTTGTGCTAGGCACACAAGCTGTACAGGCCAGGCACACAGCTAGGCACACAGTTATGATGTCTGCTTGCATAAAGATGGTAAATGCACTCACATGTGCTGTATACTTATTGGCTGTATGCACAAGCACAATGATCTAACCTGCAGGAGCAACAGCAGTAATTGTGTATGAAAAAATTAGCTCGGGGTGGCCAACATGTCGCACAAGTGCCACCAGTGGCACGGGCAGCCTCTGAGTGTGGCACACAGTAGATCAAGAAGGGAACAGGCAGCACAGGAGCAGATGAGGGCAGGAATCAGGAAGCAAAGCCATACATAGGGCAGGGAGCATAGGAAAGGAAGCATAATGCAGAGTAGCAGATCAGGCAGAGAGCACAGGGCTGGGAGCAGAAAGCAGAGCAGCAGCTTGGGCACAGGAAAGGGATCAGAGATTTGGGGAAATAGGCGGGACTAACATTTGTGGCTCACCAGCCAAAAATGTTGGCCTCCACTGAATTAGGGTATTTGTTTGCAAACAAGTGCCAAAGCTGCTTTCAAAATTGGGCCCAGGAATCTAGGATGACGCCCATCAGTGACACAGGTGATCGGGCTGCTCTTCCACCTTGCTGCCTTTGTGTACATTCCTTTTGGATCAGGGTCGTTATTAACACAGCTTCTAATTCCACTTTAATCAGCTGGAATCCTGCCTGCTGCTCCATAGCCTTATCCAAGCTTATTAGCATTCTTTCCATTGACTGCAAGGACCTTTGGATCAGACGCTAGCACAGGCCATGCTGTGGCATGGGTATCAGGTTGGTTTGTTACAGAAACTAGAAAGAGAAGTATTGTCATTAGCCAGGTACATGCCTTTTACATGGATGTGCCTGCTTGGTTTCCTTCCTGCCTGCAGAGAGCAAGAATAAATAAAGTTAGCTCATGCAGTTTCCTTCCTATGCTTAGCTCATTCGGAAGCTGAGGAGGAAGAAACAGCAATCAGCCTGGCAAAGACAAAACACTCCAATTCTCTGCTGGGTGGGAACCTTGAATAGGATAAGCAGGGGGCTGCCTGCGTCTGGCCCAATCTGCTGCAGAGAACAGCTTGTCCTAGCCCAGACTCCTAAAGAGCTTTCAAACAACCAACAAGGCATGGGAGCCAAAGGGGAGGGGCACCTGCCAGGTGATCCTCCTCCAGAACAGGAGGGGAAGAATGAGGGCAGGGCGGAGATGTCTGGGCAGGATAACAGAGGTGCTGTGGAAACTGAAATTGCTACTGCTGTGATGCAATGCGCTCCTCAGGGGTGTTTTCAATGCACTCAACTCAAAGAGGCTCCAGAGCTGAATAATTCAGCTTGCTGCCACTTCAAGTCCTACCCAACTGCTTGAAAAGAAATGCAGCCCTGATAACAGCCTGTGTTTGGGAGAAGAAGAAAAATTAAACTAAAAGAACAGTAAGTCCTCAGTACTCTCAGTTACTCTTCCCATTTTTAAAGGTACACTTTCTTTTTTGTTGGGGGTTCTTATTTGTGCTCCATTTGGATGTGACTGCAGAAGATTTTTTTTAACTCATCTGTCTAATCAGTGTTTGATATCCCTTCCTTTGCCAGTTCCCCACTACATCAGGGCTGTTGCTGCAACAGGGGAACAGCTGATCATCATCCTCTTCTTTGTAACAACCTTTTTTTCACTTAAAGACTTATAAAATGCTCCCTTAATTTCCTCATCTCCAGATCACCTGGTTCCCCGCAACTTTCCTTGCATCACATCACACCACAGGGCCATGGAGTGACTTATTACTGCTGCTGGTGTACCCCATCTGCACTGTTCCAGCAGGCAGAATTGTTACCCAGAGAAGCAGCTGCCATTCCAGCTCCACGGCTAGGGACAGATATTGCACATACACCAGTATAAGTGATCAGAGACCGGTTCAAATCTGTAACACAACATACATTCAATGCACATAAACCGCTTTCAAAATGGCCCAAACCAGTTTAAGATAAATCTGGATGGATGTAGTATCAGACTTAACTGATTTAATTTAAATTGGTTTATTGAACTTCTGTCACAGATCTCCTCCAGATTCAGGTTAACTCTCAGTCCTCCAGCATCCCAGGGTACTTTACACTCCCTCCGCCCAGGTTAGGTGGGCTAGACTTAGCCCAAGCTGTCTGCTCCAGGAGAGCAGGGAGGCATGCTCTGGCACCCCATACCTTTTGGCCTGGGCCACTGCCGGCATGTGGCTGTATTTTCAGAATCAGAAGTAAATGTCTGTTCATTTGATTTTTGGTTCAATCTATACAGTTTAGACTAATCTGTGAAGACTGAACCGATTCAGCCTCGGGCTTTTTGACTATCTGTACTTAGCCCATGGGACTCAACTGCTATGCAAGTGTGTAGCTGCCAGAGTAGGCTGCTTCAAACCCATCTGTAATCATGCTTCTTTCAGGCATCTCCCAACATCTGCTCTGAAATTCCTGCCCCACCTGAGGCTGGTAACACCATCACCCAGCACATTAGATAAGGCTGAAAGGTTCTGTCTGTGACTGGTTCTGTGGCTAGAAAGTATCCAACATGGTGGATTGGTGGGATCTTCATCCAGTCCTTCCCCCCACAAAAAAGATTGTCCAAATGACACCCCTTCACTGCTTTGTCTAGTTCCAATTAGAAAGTCCAACTGACGGAGACTACACCTAGTCCTTCAGTGTGGAGATCCTGCAGGCTAGTCCTTGCCACTGTCAGGATGTTCCTCCTCAGTTCATTGCCAGTGTGCAATAAATCATAAATCATATTTATAGCAACCACATGATAAGCTCCTACACTACAGGCAGGCAGCATGCCTAGCAGCTAGAACAGGGAGATGGAATTTCGATTCTCAGCTCTGCCCCTGTCCTTTGAGGAGGTCACCATCCCCTTCTGTGCCTCCATTTCCCTCCACATAAAATGGAGATAACACAATCCTGACTTACCTCTGTGCAGTGAGTGAGCTGATCACGTGAAAGCTCCCCTAGATGCGGAAAACATTATTAGCATGCCTGGTGTGATGCAGCCGTAGGAGCACAGATGGGTTGGCTCTATACTTAAGATGCCCTCTCTCCTCTCCACCCCACAGTCATCATGTGCCTGCATTTCTCCCACTCTCAGAAGTACCTTATCTTTTCCCTCAAGAGGCTGGCCTGGGCACGCACAGACTCTGGGCTGGACACATAACCCTCCTGTACAGGAGACAGCAGCTCCTAATTAAAGACTGGCCCCTCCAGTATGCTCCTGCACACTCCCAGGCCCAACCACATCTCTGACATAGCTCCAGGTGTAGTGAAGCAATTGCCAGGTTGGGCTTTGCTTGTCTCTTTATTCTTACCTGCTGATTAATCAGGGATTTTGCTCTTGGAGCTTCTCTGGGTGCTGCTGTTGCTGTTGCGTTTCCTGCTGCCTCTGTTGGAGTTAATGATAAACTACTGTGTCTCAGCTGCATTGGCACAGCCAGCCCGGGCAGGAAGGACCAGCCCACTCAGCTGCGTGTGTGCTCGTGAGCCAGGCACAGCTCTTCTCGGTCACTGTCATTCTCCCCCGAATGACTGCAGCAGCAAGAGACAGTCCAATGGAGTCAGCACAGAAGTCAAGCTGTGCTCTCCCTGTGCAGGCAAACGCAGTCAAAGCAATGAATGCTCTGACAGCCGGCCAGCTGGGGAGATTGCTGATGAAAGCAGGTTACTTCCTGCCTGGAAAGCCAACCAAACCTGATAGGGAGGCAAGGAGAAAGGCTGTGGCTGTAGGAATAACACAGGTGAAACCTAAAGCCCAGGGAGCAGGGAATGTCAGATACTATGGGATGCAGAAACAGCTGGCTCCTAAGGCGATGGCCCAGCTGTGGCTTAATACAACCCCTGTCAGTTCACAGCTCTGGGCACTCCTATCTGTCTGCCCATCTATCTATCTGTCTAACCATCTCTCATCAGGGTACCTTTACCACAGTGTCTCACAACACAATTTTAATGTCTTCCTGGCCCTTGACTGTTTATTTGCTGAGAACCAGCACTGCGCCAAGTGCAGCACGCGGTATCCAGGGTATGTGGCTCTTGCCTAGATGAAATATCGAATCCAACCCTGAGGTTTCAGGTGGTCCAATGCATCTCTGTATAGCCTTATCAGAAAAGGTTTGTGTATTAGTAGCTTGACACTAACTAGGAGCCCTTCATCAGCCTCCACTAGTGATATCTCTTTCCACAATATTTCTGTCACCAACACAGTGATTTCCCCACCCCCATACTCCTCACTACTGGCAGCTGGTGCTTCACTTACTTTTCAAGAACAAGCAGTTCTGTGCGACAGCCACAGAACAAATAGTTTTCTCAAAAAATAACCCCAAAGGTATAAGGTATAATATAGCTGGATCTCAGGCCTACTACAGACCTGAGTGCCAGGCACATCCACCCTCTTCTGAGACTGCTCTGAGCTCTTGATGATGAAAAAGGTTTTGTGCTAAAATAATTCCAAAGTGAAGTGAAGAAAACCATCGGAGGAAGTGGGTTATTGTGATGGCTGAGGTTAGGGTTAGGGATTCAACAGGCTTTCCAATATTTACTTGTTGCTTATTTTGTTTCCATCTTTTTATAAGTGAGTTATAGAGGGCTATTAAAAAAAAAGTAACCTGATTTACAAACAATGTGTAAGACTTCCTCAGCTAATTCCAGGCATAGTCCTCACCTCACTCACATGACTGTGGCAACTTTGATTGTGCTAGCATGCCAGACCATCCCTCAGTATCAACAAGGTGACACAAGGAGAGGGACACAAAGTAAATTAAACAAACACCCAGTCATCTTGTTAACAGTGGACCTACATCAGAAACTTCAAACCTGACTCAAGGGCCAAATCTTTCCTAAGGTCAGGAATATTACACAGCCAGGGAGCTTTTGGTTGGTCCATTTCTGGTTCTTACCACCACGTTAGCAAAATTTCACAGATATAAATGTGGCAGGGGCCTCTGTTGACCAGATCTGAGGTTTATTAGCAGTCATGTGGGTAAGCCCAAGACTAGATGACAAGGGGTACCAGTGATCACTGAAGAGCAGTGACAGAAGAATGAGGGTAAAGTAAAAATAGGAAATGCGGGCCTGGACTGGTTCCCAGTGGGGTCTCTTTCCTTCTCATTTTATCTGACAGGACCCTGTAGTCAACCATAACTAGCAACAATGATGTCGAGTGGCCATTCAGTTAGGTACTGCACTGGGAACTGTCTATCCTCAGTGCAACTGTAGGACTAGGTGATCTAACAGGTCTTTACTGCCTTTTTGTATATATGTTGTGCAAGTGACCCACAAACAGGTGTTCATTTATCCAGCCCAAATACATGAATAATATTTCATACACACAAATACATGAATAATGTTTCATACACAGTGTTGAGTACTATATGAGAAGACTCCATGTTTCTAAAATTAAACTGGTCCTTTATTAAGAGAACTATTTATAGAGACATTGCGATGCCGGCTAGCATTTCAGCCATGTATACACAGACTGACTTTCTGGTGCTCCTACAAATGCTTTCCTTTACATCCTGTGCTCTGGGCTGTCCTGATGCCATAGCCCTCACAGTGTTACCTTATCATAATGATATATCTTTATTCTGGCTCCCTTTTTAGCACTGCTTATTTCAAGGGGCATGAGCATGGAGTCACCCCAGGCAATCAGGATGATCCTAGATACCACAGGACAGGTGATGTAGCCCAAGCTATTCAGAGCAAATGGAAACAAGGAACAATAAATACAGTCATCAGGCAAATGACCTAAGAAGATATGCATCATGACAGCCCTTGAACTCTTGATGCACTGGGGGCAGTTCCCTCCATGCCACTGGCCTGAGACTTATATCACTTTTGCTTTCGGGCAGGATTTACTGCTGTGTGGGGACAGCCTGGCTCCTTCATTTGTTTCATTTGGCAGGTGTTTTCACCAGTCCCCTCCCTCTCCTTGGTGGATGCTGGCTTGTACTGTTTTGGTTCAGTTGGTGTAGAGATTTCCTATTAACCCTGTGTTGCTGACAGTGCTGGAGCTTAGGTTTTGCCATTGTTTACATCAAAATCTTGTATTTCATCATATATCATGCAGCAGCACCAACAGTTCCCTGTGCATTGGAATATGGAGCTGGGGGCCTTTGCTGGGCAGGCTTCGCCCACCCATAGCTTGAATAATAGTCACAGTTGTGAGAGGCAGACAGGAATGCTAGGTCAGCCCTCTGCCTACTGAGGGTCAGTGCCCGGGTGTTCCCTCTTGCAAATCTTTTAGTGCTTTTAAAAACACCATGTAATGTGGCTCCTGCCATTTTCTTAGGAGTATTTATTGCCTAGTGTGTCTCACTGTAATTTTTCCTGTCACTAAAGCTCCCCCCACCTTTAATTAAGCAGCTCTCCTCCCTCTCTTCCTGCTGTTTACACAATTCAAACCTTTTCCAGACTGCTCCTGAGCTGCACCACACCCTAGTTGCTTTGCAGCCAGGCTGCAGAGTTAGCTCTGTTTAGGAACGAGACCTGTGCCTGCCACCAGTTCAGCCATCCAGAGAAAGATCTGGTAAGACTCCAGTCAGCTCCTGGGGGAATTAAGTTTCCCACCACCCCAATCCCCTTCACCCTTGCAGGGCTTAACAGCGAGGTTTAGCAAGCCATGAAGCCTGAACTAGCTACTCCTATTGTTCTCTCACAGCTATTTTTTCTAACAAAACAGAAGAGCATGCCTGCTAGGACAAGCGTAACTACTAGGATCACAGGGACTAGACAGACTGTTACCTCTGGCTCACATTGCACAAGTGCTGCTGCACTGCTTTATTGTGAGTTGCTAGCACCCTTCAAGGGCTAGGCTGTTTTCTCAAGTTTTCCTTTCTCGGTATTTTTTTCCAGGGAGAGAGGATCAAGGAATCAAAGCTCCTGTCTAGGGCGTCCATCCCCTACTTGGCCAGATCCAAAGCCCAGAGAAGGCACTGGAAAGGCTTTCAGTGACACCACTGGGCTTTGGGGCAAACTGGGCATTCCAATAATAATGTCAGAAGCAGCAAGAGATTTGCAGGTTAGCAGGAAAAACGTATCACTCGCTGCCACAGGACACGTAGGGGACCTGCATAGACTGTCTATTGTATTCAGGAGTGCTCAAAAGACAGGGTTTTAGGTATGGTGCTGTTTAACGCTAGAAGTGAAGTGAAACCACCACCTCCACCACTATGCCGCTGGTAATTGTTCTTGGTATTGGCCAAGACAGAAACAGGAGGGAAGAAAGTGAGGAGAGCAAAATGCCAGTGAACTAAAAATACAGGGAACCAGATCATCAGATGCAATTTAGAATCGATCCACTAGCGTGAATTGTGCTGCTTTAATGTGGTATAGGCCACAAAAGTACCAGGGGACCCATTTTGGAGAAGGCTGCTTGCTCATCATGAGCAAGGGCAAGAGAATGAGACCTTTAAAAAGCACAAAAACCTAGAATAGAAAGATGCCTCTTCTTTTCTATCCCTCCTGGACAGAGGAATTTTAAAGAGTATCAACTGACAAAGAGGTATCAAAAGATGCAGTTGGCAAAATGTGATCTTGAAAAGGCTAAACACGCCTAGCCTAACAGGTGGAAGAATTGTTTGGGTTTCTTTTTTTAAATATTGAATGATTCTGTGGAGGGAAAATGTCCCAGTTTGGAGGAATTCAAAACAAAATTGGCTGCAGGATTTGAAAAACCTGCCATCTTCTTCAAACAAATGAATTGTATCATCAGTCCAATAGTAGGGCTTGAAGGATAGTAGGATAGTAGGGCTTGAAAACAACATCAGCTTCTTTAGTGACAAACTGCTGAGAATGATTTGGGGTTAAGCAGTCATTCTGTGTTTTTGTGTTTCAGCCACTGCTGTGGAGAATACTTATACTACCCCACACATTTTACTGTTTTGATCTATCAAAAGTTTCTGTCATTTTTCATCAATATGACTGACTCCTAGGGAATATTGTGAAGGAGATGGTAATTTCACTTGCTTCATAATATGCCCTTAGGTATATGATCATATCCCCTTAATTTATCTCATCTGTGGGGTTGCTCGGACGTGTGTGTGTGTGTGTGTGTGTGTGTGTGTGCGCGCGTGTGTGTGTGTGGTAGCAGTACCCATTATGTGCACACAACTTCATGCACATTTGTATGCCTAAACTGTTTGAAAATTGTGGCTCTGAATTCTTACATGCCTATGACTGAGGGTCTGATCTTCAGAAGGTGTAAAATTGTTGTAACTCCATTGAAGTGAATTAAGCTGGTCATTAATGTGTAATTTCTATTAGGCCACAGTGTCAGTGACAGGAGAGAAGAGAGGGAGCAGATAGTGCAAATTAGTGGAGAGGATGTGTTCCAAATAAAATGCATTAGATGTCAGCTTGTTAGTTCTGAGGGGTTTATGTGTGGGCTGCAAACTTGTATCAGGCTTGTCTGCTCTGACACATTCCCTTTTTATACAGGATAATGGTCTCTTTGGTGATCAGACTTAAATGCAGCAGAACATAACTTTGCAATAATCTAGACAATCTCCCCTCTAATTTGAGTACAGCCTACTCAATTTGAGCTCATCTCAGTGTGTGATTTCTCTCCCAACCCTCCTCCCCTTCATGCTTTGAAAAAGAGCATAAAGCTCAGTTAAAACATTGGTTAGTTGTTCCCAGTGCAGAGACAGCTGCTGTTAACCCTACCTGACTACTTCCCAGTTCCCTTTCCCTTCGCTTGGATAAGTGAATTCACCCTGCCAGGTTTCCCTGCTTGAATCAGGTTCTCTGGAGACCCTATTTCCATCCTGTCATAGAATGAGAAGGGACTCTCCATCCAATGAAAGGGCAGTGTTTCTCCTTGTTTACACTCAGTTTAGTTTTTCCTCTTCATCCTTGCCTCCTTGTAACAGGGAGCCAGGGGATCCCATTACTTTGAGGGAGAAGCAGCCAGAGGGAGGTCCACAGGTGGAGAGAAGACTGTTCATTATGGACAGGAAGCAGCCAGGGAGCCATAGGCTTGGAACATCTAGACTAGGGATAGAAATTACACATAAACTGGAATAAGTCATTGGAAACTAGTTCACATCTGTAATACAACAGAAGTTCAGTCCACATAAACTACTTTTAAAATGGCCAAAACTGGTTTAAGATAAACCCGGATGAATATAGTATCCAACTTAATGGATTTAGGTTAAATTGGCTTATTGAGCTTTTGTCCCAGATCCCCTCCAGATTCAAGTTAATTCAGCCCCTCAGCATCCCAGGATGATTTGCACCTGCACTGCAAACCCTGCCTCTCAAGGTGGATGGGCTACCCTTGCCCAAACTTTTTTGTTCTAGTACCCCTGGCTTCTGGCCTGAGCCACTGCAGGCATGTGGCTGCATTTCCAGAATCAAAAGTGAATGTCTGGTCACTTGCATATTAGTTCAATCTATACAACTTAGACTAACCTGCAAAGACTGAATCAATTCAGCCTCAGGCTTTTTGACTGTCTGTACTTAGCCTTATTGCGGGCTAGCTGCCCAGCCATAGGATGGTAGGGGAAAGTCCTGCTGGAGCAGCAAGGGCACTGCTATGGCAGCCAGAGTAGCAGCTGTAAGCTGCCCATTAGAATCAATATGGGATGGCTGTGCCGCAGCTGGAGAGAGTCACCTGACCCAAGAGGAGCTGTGTACAAAGGAACTTAAAAGCCAGCACCTGGAGAGATGAAGAAGAGAGGGCTGGTGTGCTACAGGGGATGGAGCTCTCTGCAGGGTGGAGCTGCTTGAGAGACCCAGGCTAAACACTATGAAGGCAGCAAGGAGAGAGCCCCAGAGGAGGATGTCTGGCCAAATATTTGTTTAACCCCAAGTAGCGAGGGAAGGTTTTGTTAAGCAGTTGCTTGCCTTTTGTGTTTAGGTTATACCAATGGGCCAGGTGTAGATAAAAGGGGTGACAGGGAGTGCCTGAGAATCACAGAGAGGTCTTGAGCCCTGCCAGAGGTAGGGGCTTAAAACACAGTCAAGCAGAAGCCAGGAGGGTTAAAGCCTGAGACAGAAAAGGTGATAGCAGTGGCCTAAAGCCAGGAGGGCTAGGCCCAGAGCTCAAGAGGGTCTAAACCAGGGCTAAGGCCCAGACCCTGAGAGGAGTGAAACCAGGGCCAGAGGCCCAAGGCCCAGAAGGGCTAAGACAGGAGCTGGAGCCCATAAGTGAGGCCTGGTGTAGTGGGCCTAGGCTAAGGAGCCCAGTTAGAGAAAAGGGGTGGAAGCTGGGAAAATGAAGTACCCAACAAAGGCCCAAGGAGGTCTGACCTTGTACTGGGCGGCAAGGTGCCCCACTGAAGTGATAATCGGTAAAATATGCAAGACATGAGCATGGCTGTAGGGGCGGAAGGAGGCCACGAATAGCCCTCAAGGCAACTGGTGCGCTACAGCACAGGTGAGCTGGGAGGTCTCCGCCTAATGCCTTAGGGGCAGGGCAGACATCAACTGGGTTCAGGAGGGACCCACTGATTGATTATAGACAAGGGCTCACTCTGAGACCCTGGGGCAGCCTCCCTTTTCATAATCAAATAATTCCATCAAGGCATGGCAGGTGAGAGGCAAGGGAGGGTACTCCTGGACCCCAATCCTGTCACAGTGGTGCATTGGCTGGGAAATGCTACGTGTACAGGGGGACTCAGTTTCCCTGGTGGAGAAAAGAGGACCCTTCAGCCAAGCAAGGGTAGGAATAGGTAGAGAACAGGCAAAGCTTCTAACCCAGCAGTGAGGCAGAGATAAAGAGAACTAGGAACACACAGCAAAGGCCGACACAGGAGGGCCTATAACAGGGGCAATGGGGGAACCACGGTGAAGGCTGACACAACAGAGGAACTGAAATGCCAGATACTAGACCCACAGCTGTTCTCCGATGAGATTGCAGAGTGAGCAAGCTGTTTGCAGTGGGAGGTCGCGGTAGACAGGCGCAGATGCAAACAGGCTGAAGCAGAAGTGGCTTCTTTAAAACAGTGTCTGTAGAAAGGGAAGCAAAAACCAAGGAAGTAAGGCAATTGATTGCAGCAGAAGCTGAAAGAAATAAGGATTGGAAGCAGCTCCTTACATCAGAGGCAGAGAATAGTCAGAAACATGAGGAAAAGTCTCAAATGCTTCAGACAGAGGTTATTGCCATGGCTTCCTGAATTGCAAAGAAAGGCATGGCCAAGACAGATGAGGTTCCAAGCTACTCCAAACCAGTGGAGGAACAGAAAGCAACCAAAAAACCACTAGAGAGACAGATGACCAGGAAGCCAGAGAACAGGGACTGCCAATAGGAGATCAGTTTGCAGGCAGCTTCTGGAGGCAAGAAGAGGGAGGAAGGAGAAAAGAAGCCAGGCCTGGCACTAGATCCTGCCCAGGAAAAGTAAGTGATCCAGCTGCCTGTACCTTTGGTTTAGCTGTCTGTCTGTTTGTTTGGTGGATGTGGGCTCTGAGAAGCTGGGAGTGAGTGCTGAGTGCCTGTTGATTGCTATAGGATTGCTGACTGCTGCATGATTGCTGCCTGGGCCTGAATCAGCCCAGGCCCAGAAGGGTATAAAAGGAGATTCCCCAGGTGACCAGGCAGCCAGTGAACAGGGATTGCCAACAGGGGAGCAATTTGCAGGCAGGAGTACACACTGTGTAGGAATACATGGGAGCTTCTGACATAGACTTCAGGTAAGTGAACAAGGAGCGGGGCTACTATGGGGGTCGTGACACAGAGTGCAGCCAGGGACCCTGCCCTGCTGCTGCCTCTGACCTGGAGCTCCTGTGAAACCTCCATGCAGACAGGCCCCTTGAATGGATTGGCAGTGTCCTGGACCCTGTCTGCGGGGGTTAGTTGGTGGGACCTCTCAGATTTGGGGGTAACGTGGGGGCTGGGGGTTCTCTTGCCTGTCCCACACGTGCTCAGATTGAGGCCCTGGAGGGCCAGGTGAAGGAACTCCAGGCAGAGGTGAGCAGGCTGCAGGGGATAAGGGTAATTGAAAACAAGATTGATGGCTACTTTCATTTTCTGCAGGACAAGACTGCTGGTGGAGAAGCTGCGAGGGAATGCCCTGAAACAGATGCTGGTGAGTGGAGGACAGTCGTCTCAGGGGCCAGACCTCTCGCCGCACAGACAGCTCCCCAGTGCAGTTGGGCAACAAATGTGAGGCCCTGGTTGCACTGGAGGAGTGTGCAGTGGGGCAAAGTGCACTGGAGGGGCCTGCCGCCATTATCGAGTGAGCTGAGGGCCGGCCAGGTAAGTAGGAGAAGAGACATGACATCATTGTTGTGGGCAACTCCTTGCTCAGACGAACAGAGGGACCCATCTGTCATCCGGATCCCATGGTGCATGAGCTCTGCTGCTTGCCTGGAGCCAGGATCAGGGATGTCACAGTGAGAATTCCTGGCCTCATCCGGCCCTCTGACAACTATCCCGTGGTCCTCATTCATGTGGGAACAAATGATATGGCCAGGAATAGTCCAGACCATATCATGAGTGACTACAGGGCTCTGGGGACCGGGCTTAGGAAGACGGGGGTGCAGGTGGTCTTCATGCATCAGCAGGTGCATGACAAATAGATCCAAGGAGGTGATACTTCCCGTCTATGTGGCATTGGTCAGACCACAGTTGGAGTACTGCGTCCAGTTTTGGGCACCATACTTCAAGAAGGATGTTGATAGACTCGAGAGGGTCCAGAGGAGGGCCACTCGTATGGTTAGGGGCTTACAGGACAAGCCCTACGAGGAGAGACTGAGGGACCTGGACCTCTTCAGCCTCCACAAGAGAAGGCTGAGAGGTGATCTTGTGGCCACCTACAAATTCATTAGCGTGACGCAGCAGGGGATTGGAGATGCTCTGTTCACCAGGGCGCCTCTTGGGATAACAGGGAACAATGGTCACAAACTGACAGAGAGCAGATTTAGGCTAGATATCAGGAAAAACTGCTTCACGGTAAGGGTGGCCAAAATTTGGAACGGGCTTCCAAGGGAGGTGGTGCTCTCCCCTACCTTGGGGGTCTTTAAGAGAAGGCTGGATAGGCATCTGGTCGGGGTCATCTGACCCCAGCGCTCTTTCCTGCCTAGGCAGGGGGTTGGACTCAATGATCTGTTGAGGTTCCTTCCGACCCTAGCTTCTATGAATCTATGAGTTCCCAGGAGTAAAAGAAAAAGTTCTATGAGGAAGTGAAAACTTGGCAGAGGAAGTACTTGCAGCTAGAAGATGCCACAAAAAAACTATGGCGAGAGCGCACTAAAACATGGATCAAGACAAATCTCCCAATTGCATTATAGACAAGCACAGGAGGAACACCAGCCCACCAACTGTCAGTATCGACCTAGTAAAGGGCCACTTGGAGGGGCTGAATGTGTTTAACCCAGAAGGCCTGGATGATATTCATCCAAGAGTGCTGAAGAAATTGGCCAGTGTCATTGCAGAGCCACTGGCATGGCTGTTTGAGCACTCACACACACACTCTGCCCCATGCCCTCAGACACGCACATACTCTGCTCTGTGCCTGCCCACACGCACGAACGCATGCACATGTACATACCCCTACCAGTGCGTTCCCATGCTCCGCAGTCTGGGGGTGCAGCCAGGAGCCACAGCCATGTGGTGCTGGAGCAGGGCTGGGACAGGAAAGCAGGGAACTGGCTGGGGGTGGGCAGGGCTGAGCTGCTTAATCCTGCAAGCCTGCTGAGGGCTCTCTCTGGGTCCTACTGCCCCTGGCTCCAGCCAGCTTTAACAGGGAGCTGGGGCAAATAAATATTAATTTACTAAATTTTTTTTAGGGGCTCTGCGGGCCAGATAGAATGGCCTGGTGGGCCAGATCCAGCCCACGGGCCATATTTTGCCTGCCCCTGGGCTAGGGGATAATCTTCTCAACAGCACAGCAGCAGAAAGGGATCTCAGAGTCATAGTTGACTCGAAGATGAATATGAGCCATCAATGTGATGAAGTAATCAGTAAAGCTAGCATCTATCATGCATTAGCAGGTGCATCATGAACAGGTCCAGGTAGGTGATATTTCCCCTCTATGCGGCATTGTTCAGGCCACAGTTGGAGTACTATGTCCAGTTCTGGGTGTCACACTTCAAGAAGGATATGGACAACCTTGAGAAGATCCAGAGAAGGGTCACTCATATGGTTAAGGGCCTGTAGGTAAGGCCCTAAGAAGAGAGACTGAGGGCCCTGCATCTCTTCAGTCTCCACAAGAGAAGGCTGTGAGAGGATCTTGTGGCTGTATACAAATTCATCAGGGGCTTGGGGGGGAGCAAGAAATTGGAGATGCTCTGTTTACCAGGGCACCCTTTGGAATAACCAGGAACAATGGTCACAAACAGACAGAGAGCAGATTTAGGTTGGACATCAGGAAGACCTTTACGGTAAGGGTTGCCAGAATCTGTAATGGCTTCCAAGGGAGGTAGTGCTCTCCCTTACCTTGGGGGTCTTTAAGAAGAGACTGGACAAATACCTGGCTGGGGTCATATGACCCCAGCGCTCTTTCCCAGGTCAGGGGGTCAGACTTGATGATCTATTGAGGTCCCTTTCGACCCGAACAACTATGAACCTATGAAACCCAAACCCTGGTTAAAGAGCTATACAAAATCCAGATCAGCTACAAGAGCCTACTGACTGGCACAAAAAAGGCAAAAGAGCAGCAGTAGAGCCTTGCTGACCTTCAAGACAAGCTGCTCTCCTCTGAAACAGAGGAAAAATGTAAATCTGAAGAGCATGATGGACTGAAAACAAAACTGCTGGAGGCCAGTGCTGCAAGTGCATAGCTCATGGAAATAATCAAATCCAGGGAAGCCCTCCTGGAAGCAGGCCTGGCAAGGGAGACAGCTGATTGAGCAAAAGTGAGCCAGCTTCAGTTAAGACTCTAGGAAAAAGTTGACCTAGTCTCCTTGTTCAAGAAGGAAGCCATGGAACTAAAAGAGATAGTTGAACAACTGAAAACAGAAAGCAAGGACCTTTATGTACACGCACATACTAAGCCAATTTAAAATAAAGTGACTTAAAATAAGGCGACTTAACTATGCCAACTTAAACTAGGCCATGTTTGAGAGCAGAACCAGAAAGCAATGGAAATGTTGGCTGCAGCTGAGAGAGCCTGTGAAGAAAAACTGCTTCTTGCTGCCAAAGCAAAGGAAGAACCAGATCAGCTGCTTGGAGCAATTCAGGGTCTCAGGGTGCTTGTACACATGATGAGGATTTAGTCTTCAGGGTTTTATTCTATGCCCCAAAATTGAAACAGTGAGTTTTTAATTGAAAACCACCATTTCAATTTAAAGGTTTCTGTCACTGTTATGGTGAGAGGCCTGATCCTTTTCTTTTTTTTTCCGGCAGAGCCTGCCTGCTGCCAAGAGGCAAGCTGCCAGCAGGCCGAGCAGTCCCTGAGCTGTGGGGGATCCCTGGTCCTTCCCTCCATTGCAGTGGCGCCTCCCAGGCCTGTCTGGTCAGGCTGCTAGTGGGCCGGGTGCTGCCCCAGCTCTGAGGCAGCACCTAGCCAGATCCAACTCTTCCCTGAGCCCGCTGGGGCTTCCAGTGCCCCATGCACTGTCCCTGATGCCTTCCCACTGCCTGGGGCCAGCCAGGAATGAGCTGTCTTGCCCCTGGGGTAGTATGGGGAGGTGGCAGAAGGGTGGCTGAGTGTGCTGGTGGCTGGAGAAGGTGGTGGGGATGGTGCATGGGGTGCTAGAAGACTGCTAAGCCTGAGCTTCCCTGAGCCCACCCGGGCTTCCAGCACCCCATGCACTGTTCTTGCCACCTTCTCCAGCTACCAACACACCCAGCCTCCCTCCTGCCACCTCCTGCCAAAGTACCGGGGCTCCCTGCAGCTCAGGGGCCACTTGGCCCACTGGCAGCCCATCTCCCAGCTGCAGGAGAGGCAGACAGGCTCCATGAAAAAAAAAGGATTGGGCTCCTCACCACTTCTGCCTTCAGCAGGCACCTGTGGCCACCAGGCACCTGCTGAAGGGAGAAGCAGTGAGGGTCCCAATCCTTTCTTTTGGCAGAGCCTTCCCACCTCTCCTGTGGCCGCGCGGGGTGGGGTGGGGGGTACAAGCTGTCAGATTAAAGGCTGCAGCATTACAAGTAGCAACGTTGCAAACTAAACTATGCGGGATGTGGTTTAGTTTGCAATATTGCAAACTCATTTGAATCCCCCAAACCTTGTGCACGTTTAATGTGTGACACTGTTAAGCCACACAAAGGAAATTTTTGTCATGTGTACATGGTGCCGATCATCAACTGTACAAGTGCCCTCAGACAACAGACATTGCTTTCTGTTTTCCCAGAGGTCGCTGTCTCCTCACAGCAGGCTTACAAGTGTCTGCAGAAGTGTTTAAGGGGAAGACACTGGAAATGCTGAAGCAGCAGATGGCAGATGGCAGAGACAGAATTACATGATTTGGCACTTAAGTTAGCAGAGGCAGAAGAAACTCGATTACAAGCACAATGTGAACAATACAGAACTACTCTTGCTGAGACAGGAGGAATGCTCTAGGCCCGACTGAAGAATATGGAAGAGGAGGAGCAGGTGTGGAAAGCAATACTAACAGTATCTGAAGAGGAACTTGAAAAGTTCCAAGTCTAAGTGCAATCTCTGAAGTGGTTGTGGAGAAGTTGAGAGTAGAGCTGCAAAACGCAGACTGACTAAAGAAATATATCACTCTTCTAGAAGCACAGATGAAGCAGCACTTGGAGACTGCCAGTTCAGAATGGCAGGACTACACAAAGCAAGTCGAGGTATTGAGGCAACTTTTATCTGAATCCCAGGAAGAGCTGAAGACAGCAAAAACAGAAGTCCAGTCAACTAAGGAGGTTCAAAACCTGAACAGATAATTGGACCTTGAGCTCCAGAGGTGCAGGGCTAAGATCAACCAGCTGATGGGGAGGCACAAACAAGAGAGAGAATGTCTTGATCTAACGTTGGAGGAGCTAGATCAGGGTTGGGCAAAATACGGCCCGCGAGCCAGATCCGGCCCATGAGGCCATTCTATCTGGCCCAGGGGGTCCGTAAAAAATTTAGAAAATTAATGTTCATCTGTCTTAGGTTCCTGTCAAAAATGACAGGAACCAGGGGGAGTATGACCCAGGGGTAGCCACAACAGCAGGGCCTGCCCGGCCCCGCCTCCACCAGCTGGAAGCCCCAGCAGGGGCTTCTGGCCTGCGACCATGTGGCTGCACCACGCCAGAAACTCAGGTAAGCGGGGTGGGTAAGGGCAGGGAAGGAGCACGGGGAAAAGTGGCCCCTC